TACTGCTACTCACATATGTTTAGGTATGGTTGGGGCATAGCAGGGGAGCGTCAGGTGTCATTGAGTCACGCCGTGATCCGTAAGAAAGCTGGAATGTTTGGAGCCGATGTAAGTCATATTTCTGGTTATGAAGATTCTAACACATCCTTTGATACACAAGCTGTTAAACGTATGTTTTCATTTTTGTATCAATGCATTAGGTGTACTTCATGACAGACACGTGTGACGTGTCGTTTATTTATCGAGCAAGTATTTTCAGTAAAAACGTTCATGTGTTAGAAACGTTGTTGATTCTATATGCTTTTTGACATGCTGACCTTCCCATGGTAAAATACAAAGCATACCCATGAAATGTGTTTTTATGCACACTGTGTGAGTGGTGGGTACTATGACAGACCCCAGCACTACAAGACACATGGCCAATAATGCTCAAACATGACTGTCAAGAAACGCATGTGAACAGATGTGTTGCACAACAAGACCGTGAACGTGCCACGATCGGTTCGTATTAATCAAATATTCGTGTGCTAAACAGCGTGTCCAGTTTTATCGTCATATCATCATGTCATATTTTACCATAATACTAGAAAATGTACTGCGAAGAAGGAAACCGTAGACTAACATGGAATCTTGAAGCTTCGCTGATTTCATTTCCTGTTCCATTCAAAGTGTTGTACCTTTTTATACTTTCTTCTTCTTCTTTATACAATCTGAATGGTAAAGATGGTAAAGTTGTTTTTCTAAATTGTTAAGCCTGTTGGAACGTGGTAAATGTGGTTATTTGATCTGATCTGACAAGTGCCTGGGATAAATGTAAGTTTCAATTTTATTTAACGCCGATTTAAAACAGTATTTCAGTTTTTTTCAATTATATTCACCAAAACAGTAGGTACAGACTTAACAGTGGGTAAATATCCTGCAAAAGGCTGGACACAACCAATAATGGGTTATTATTCCAAAACAGAGGCTGGACACACCAAACAGAGGGTAAATATCCTGCAAAAGGCTGGACACAACCAATAATGGGTTATTATTCCAAAACAGAGGCGGGACACACCAAACAGAGGGTAAATATCCTGCAAAAGGCTGGACACAACCAACAATGGGTTAATATTCCCAAACAGAGGCGGGACACACCAAACAGAGGGTAAATATCCTGCAAAATGCTGGACACAACCAACAGTGTGTATATATTACCAAACAGAGGCGGCACACACCAAACAGAGTGTAAATATCCTGCAAAAGGATGGACACAAACAACAATGGGAGGAGGAGTAAATTAATACCTCCAGCGCCCTCCGTGGAAGGCGCCCTATGAATATTCATGAGCCTAGTGTTATGCTAATAGACATGCATGGCGTCACAATGAGAACGGCGTCATTATGCATGAATGTTAAGAATGTAAAGAATGCGGCTTTTGTTAAAATCTCTTAGTTGGGGAATTCTTTAGGAATGTCAGCTATTTGGAATGTAGTCGGGGTAGATACCTTCAAATACATACTAGAATGATCGTCATCAAATGGAATCTCACCCTATCGGGAATGAATGAAACAGTTCTCAATCTCTTGATATAGCTACTTAATGAATACTAGAATGTCGTCAATCGAGACAAAGAGGTGAATGTACTTATTCACCATTTGATCATCACAGTCGACTGCGAGGAATTATATATATATATATATTTCGTTTTTGCTTACAAAATACAGACGTACCTTTCATATTTGGATGGAAAAAAATCTGATTCAACCAAACATTCCATTCCATTCAATAAAAAACATTTTAAAAATGATAAAACACACGTGTGACCCACATCGTCTCCCAAAGTGGCAGCCTATATTCACACACGGTTTAGGAATGCCTGAGGTAATGTATCCATCTAGGTCAATCAGTACAACGCGTGTCCCACCCATTCATACAGCCGGATGCCAGATGAGGTAAACATTATTTTCAGAGTACATACTAACGTATCATCTCTAAACAGGGAACTGTAACTTAAACATGTGTAACCATAAAGGGGACGGGTATTTTTTTAGACCATTTACGGTGGTATATCAATAGGGTTGAGGTGGGTAAAAGTTCTAAAAGCCGTGTGGAAGAAGGGATACATGCTACACGGAAGATATGTGTTTCGTGAATTTCAACAGGATTTGGAAAACACTATCGGTGAGATAACAATATTCTGAAACTGGTCATGTATTCTTAATAAGAACTTGGGATGTTTCATTTCAATCTAGCTTTACAACATACTCACATTCATTTATCATATGTTCGTTGAATAATATGTGATGTGAACTAGATATAATTTAAGAAGAACGTGTATGGTCGGATTTAGTGTTAGATGGGAAACTTAGGGTCTATATGAGCGAAGGAAATCTTTTAGAGTTGGAAATTAAGATTGAATATAAGAATAAGACTAACTATTTACAAGGAAATATATCAGGCGTGAATAAAGTAAATAAATGTTGTGTCCAGCCTTTTGCAGGATATTTACCCTCTGTTTGGTGTGTCCCGCCTCTGTTTGGGAATATTAACTCATTGTTGGTTGTGTCCAGCCTCTGTTGGGAATATTTGCTCACTGTTTGTTGTTTCCAGCCTTTTGCAGGATATTTACACTCTGTTTGGTGTGTCCAGCCTCTGTTTGGGAACACTAGTCTCATAACACTAGGCTCGTGAATATTCATAGGGCGCCTTCCATTGAAGGCGCTGGAGGTATTAATTTACTCCTGCTAATGGGTTAATATTCCCAAACAGAGGCTGGACACACCAAACAGAAAATGAAAGAGACAAAACCATTTCCATAATCATAGGACATTGTGCTTGTGTTCTGGTTAAGACCAGTACCACCTAAAAGCATGCAGGTTTCCCCAAGCATTTCGTTCTAGAACACAGTCGTCAGTATGCTAATGACCGTGCCCGTAATGATAGTGGATATATGGACATTTAATGCAATGACCACATCGCGAAAATTTTCCCCAGAAGATCACACATGGCTCTTTCACTTTCCGCCCGGAGAGCGGAAGGTCCAGGGTTCGATCCCGGGCCGCGTCATACAAAAAGACGTTAAAAGATTGTACTTGTTGTTACCCTGTCTGGCGCTCGGCATTAAGGGGCTAAAACAAGGACTGGTCGGCTCGGAGTCAGTATACTGTGTCTGAGTGGGGTATTCATGTTAAACTGCGGCATGGTATCTCAGTGAGCTAGCACTATAAATCGGCATCAGTCCGGACTAGTACAAGCAGCCACACACACACATATACGTGCATGCACGTCGCTATATAAGTGCAATAATCTTGGACGCGACGTTAAACCCAATTTCACCTCACCTCACCTTTCACTTTCAGACGACTGCACACGTGACACTGCTCGTGACACTTAGAGCAGAAACAACGGATGTGACCTTTGAAATAGGAAGCGAGAAGAAACATTCCAATAATCGTAAGAGACAAAAACATTTTATGAGTGCTTCTGTAAACTTCTTGCATGCGCAAAGGGACGTAACGCTGTATAGGGTATACAGTTATTCTTGTGGTATACACAGTTTTCGCGTGCTCTGTTCATTAGGATATTGTTTCAGTGAACATGGACGTAATCAGTGAACATGAGCATGAATTATGTATGAAGCTTATTGGTAAAAGTTGAGTTTGAAATATTTGTTGCATGTTTTAGTGCTCAGTGAAACAACTTTTAAGTTCTATTTGTTACAGTTAATTGTCTCACATGAGCGAATGGTGAAACGGAGAAGGAAATGAACCGATGAGAGGATTGGCATTTTGTTCATTACAATAATCATAAGAAATAAGAGTCCATTCTACAATTCCGATAAGCATGGCTTTATGAAGCACTACCAAGTAGTGGCATATTCGGTACTTATTTTAGTAATGCGATATATATTTGAGCCTTTGCTAATTAATAATATGAGAAACATATTCAGAAATAACTAATAACTAATAACATCGAACAATTTCACCATGCCAGTACGTGCGGTGTATATCTGAACCTTCTGAACCTGAGGCACTTTCAAAATTTGAACTAAACAGGGTTCAGGTAATTGATGTTTATGTTCTATAACATCTCAAATTAGATTATACAAACAGTTCAAGTCAATTTGCAAGTAAGATTATGCGCAAGATATATGACTTGTACAGTCAGTAAAAGTCAGTGTTCAGGTTAGAGTAGAATGATTTCATTCAGTTCTTATTCTGTTGTTCACTTCCTGGTAAGACCAAACAAAGAGCACATTAACCTTGACAGTGTCGAAAACGTGAGAGTGCGAGAACGTGAGAGTGCGAAAACGTGAGAGTGCGAGAACGTGAGAAAAAAGAAAAGTAGCATCATCGCTATTTCCTGTTTTGTCGCCTCATTTGACAAGTCAAGAATGCGAGAGTTTTGCATCATGTCCGGTGCACATATTGCTTTCTCGAGAAGAATGTACTCTGTACATAAAACATGACAATGCTAGATCGCGATAACGAGTGATTTTGCCCAAATCTCTCCATTTCGCATTCTCCCACTTGTTGAATATTTGTCATGTTTCTGAGATCGAAATCGAAAGAATGAGAACACGCGAGGCTGTCTTCAAGAGTATCCTTTAGTTTCATTACTTGAAACCCTATCAAATGCTTTATACAGTAAACTACGGTTATAACGAACACGCTTATAACGAACTGACTGATTTAACGAACTTATTTTTTAGTCCCGGCCATTCGTTGTATACATGCTGTATAAATGCTTATAACGAACTACGGTTATAACGAACTAAAATAAGTCGCCCCTTTGAGTTCGTTATAACTAATAACAGTAGTTTACTGTATTTTCAAAACAGCGTCTTAGCCGACGTAATAGTTTGAATAGAGCTCGACGGTGACGCACATTAATGTCTCCATCAGTCATTGATTAGTTAAACACGCTATGGGTAGATATTCTTTGACAAAACATATTTGGGGAGTAAAAGGAATTCTGATTTATGGATGTTAGTACAGAATAAAACGGACATTGTGACGTGATCCATATGTAGATGTATTGACACAAGTACATCTGATTAGCACCACCCGGGGCTCCAAACGTCTCCATACTTTTGGGGGTCAGATGCTGGATCCGGATCGGGGAAATTGGCTGGCACCATCGTCTTCCTGTACTCCTCTAAACGGGAACGCAACTTCGCCACCATGTCCGGCATCTGCTGTGCAAGGTCGTTGTGCTCAGTCGGATCCACTGGATGTGTAGCAAAATAACAATGAGGATGTTTTTTTGGCTTTCCAAATTACTTTCATCTTGATGCTGCATTTATTTTGTACACACTGCGTGCTATGGGATTCAGATTTGTTATTAACAGTATTAACTGTATGGGTGATGTTGTTGCTGCAGTCATGGGGTAGTGGTCATGCATTATTGTGGGTTGAAATCCAAAAGTTACCCAGGTCTTGGAAAAAAACACATGCAGAGGTAGGGACTACTAACTATTATAATCACGAGGAATATTGCAAGTTCAACCCACAGCTTGCGATTGCAGCAGTAAATATTTGTGTTCAAAAGTGCAGTGTACAGTACATTTAGGAGATTTAGGGAGGCTAATTCAAGTTTAGACACATTTGAATGCCAATGCATGTGTACCTCGAATGTTGAAGAGATGGACTGGAGAATCTCCTTTGACATAAACTGTCTGTTCATATTGTTCATACTGGGTTGTGTTCATGGGTCTGTGCCAGCCATCAGGACCTCCAGGGTACCCCAGTATCAGCTTGTAGTCGCCTACTCTGATAAATAAGAATGCACACACCGTTACATACAATAGGTGTTTGTTTGCTTCTATTATCACGACTGTATTCAGTGCAATTCTAAATAGGGCGCGTTGTTTTGCATCTGAACGAGGTCGTCATTTGAATATGCAAATCGACGTAGAATAGCAAATCAAACTGTTGCTCACGAAATCTCAGATTTCCACAGATTTAAAATACCTTATTCCAGCATGTCCCTCGATTGGGACTTCAAAGTCGTCAATGTTGTAAATGAACTCTGTTCTTTTGGACGGGAAGCCGTTTCGAATAGAATCCCACTGACTCATTCCATCAATGGTGGTTTCTGTACCCAAGATACAATACAAAGCAGTGAGGACATTTCGTATGACCTTGCCGTGGAATTTTCGAAACAATTTATCAAAAAACACGACACGTTAAAAATCTCTTGACTGATTCTTTGTAGTAAAAATAATCTTTCATGATTGCAATGGTATCAATAATAGTGGAAATTTGAAAGAGAATTTTTCTACCTGGAGTTCCTCCAGCAGCAGACACTAAAGTCGGCTTCCAGTCAACAGCGTGAATCATTCTGTTTTGAGGTAGAATCAATGCACACAATAAGACACATGATTACATCCGCCAAATGACTTCAACATTTCAAATGGTTTTAGCTTATATACTATGTACACAATGAGGGATATTAAGAGAATTTAGTTGAAGGTTTTTGTCATTTTATGAAATTACAGTAACAACATGTACATGGTTGTCGAAACATGAACACCGATATGCTGCATGTGTTATGTTTTCCTGCATTCAAGTTCCAATCCGGAATGAAATAGGGCCCGTAGCCTTTTATTAACTATTCATATGTCTGTCGAACTACAAACTTGGATCATTTCATTTTGTAGCTTATCACCTTTTTCTAAGGATATTGAGTTAGGGCTGTTGTATTCTATGACGTTACCCATCGTATGTCGTCCTTGTCTTCTTGAGGCCAGCACCATACATGAAGGATATGCCCCTCGTGCCCCCCTCCCAGATCGTGAATTTCCCTCCTCTCAGAGGCCAGTTGCTGGAAAACGCGTCGAGCTGGCCTCCATTCTGAACGATGAATGGTTAATTCCAAAGGAGAAGGACATGATTAGTAGTTGGATAAAACACAACTATTGAGATAAACACATACCTAATGTAAGAAAGTGCATTTAAACTTTCAATAAGTGAAACACAAAAACACATATAACAGTTCAATGTATTCTTCACCCATATAGTTGTAATGGGAAGGTATTAAGTTTCTAATGTATAACATAGCACTGCTTGGTGTGAATTTCATTGTTGTAGCCATGCAATTACACTTTATTTCATTCATGATTTGGTAACTATTTACAAGAAATCAAAACTTTCTCGATTGCAGGGTGACATTGTCATACTGTCATTGGTTATAGGCAAATAATATTTAATGTTAAAACAATTGAAAATTGTCAAAGTTAAGAGTTAAGATATTGTGCTAAATTGCTTGAAAATGCTTGTTGATACTGCAACTACTTACATCTGTGGTAAATAGAATCAGAGTATTATTAAACAAGCCCCGATCCTTCAGGGCCTGGGTAACATTACCCACTGCCTCATCCAGGGCAGACACCATTCCTGTTCGGAATGATAGTAGTGGGTCAGAGTTTTGAGCAGAATTTAAAATATGTCATGGTGCATGAATTCCATGCTGGTCGTTGAGTCTACAGAGAACAGGTTTTTCATAAGTACGAATCTGGGACATGAACGTCCAGTAAGAGGATGCTAACTTGCATGATGGGTACAATTCTATAGGACAACTCAACAAAACTAATTGAAACGATGATCAACATGCTTTCTGAGAAAGAGAATATGACAAGTGTTTTAGTATCCTAATAGACAAGTGTTTTAGTATAATATAGAGCGTCAACACCAGAAAATAATCAGAAACGAAAAGCAGACATAAACACGCATACCGCTCAACGTTCTTCGCCCGCTGTTTATCACATTTGGATACATATCCTCATACTTCTTGGGCACCTGTGTAGTCAAATATTGATGTACATACATAAACAAATGGATCATCATATTAAGCTGCATTTTGGATTGGAAATAAATATACGTCATGATCATCTTAATTACTCATCATCGTCAGAAATTACCATGATTAATTAATTCCCTTGTTCCCTTGTTATTGTTCTGTAAAGTCATTGTTCTGTTCTGTTATGTCTTTACGCACGGCAACGCATTATTAGTATGTACAGCCTTGGAAGGACTCTTTGGAAATGTAAGCAATAAACGAAAAATTCACCCCAAGTTCCCTCTCTCTTGATTGACTACATTCTCAGCCTCTGATCAAGCTTGGTAGAATTTAACTGGTTCACGTTCTCAATACTGTTGTTTTAATGTACCTCAATAGGAGCGTGTACATTCTGATAAGGGAGGTACATGAACAGTGGCTGTGAAACATCATGTCGATTGATGACGTCAACGGCTCTCTGGGTGAATGTGAACTGAAAAGAAAATAGGAATGTACACTATGGTCGAGTCAACAAAATCTCCCCGAGGATTTAGATGCTAGTATATCACAGAAAGTGTTCATTTTGTAAATTAATCATGAATGGTCTGAAAATTTACACCTGAAGTTAAGGACCATATATTTTCCATGTCAATCGGCTTTGTATACTTACAGTGGAATATTCTCCAGAATAGTTTCTAGCAGGAAGCTTGTTGTCCCTGTAGTCTAAGTACGTCCCAGATGTACGCCCCCCATACGGACTAACAGTGTGATTGAAGTAGTCTTCATACGCAGTATAATAACCAAAGTAAGTATCGAAGCCTCGGTACGTTGGTGTGCACTCCCACTTGCAGAAACCAAGGTGCCACCTGAAATGACAGTGCAGTTAATGCTTGTACATTTTCTTAAAGACACCGATAACCACATATGGACTTTGCTCTATCCAACAATGACAACTACTCCTCACTCTCATGTGAATGAAAATGCTTCATCTAAAAAAAATAATATTAGTTCATTTATTGCCGTATATATGTTATATATTCTATGTATATCTTTGTTTTGATTCTTAAGTGTAACATATTACTTACTTTCCAATCATGTGCGTAGCATAGCCGAGTTTCTTTAGTTCTTGGGGGAGGAATGTATAGTTGAGGGGTACACACACCGCTTGGTCAGGGAACACTGTCCTATGCTGAATAGGAATGTGTCTTTGTGAGATAGCCTCAGATACTCAAGGTTCAGAAAGAACATTCCCACTTACGTTAAAACAATATTTGATGTCATACAAACACGTTGTGACAATACTGACACTAAATAGAGATTGTTCTATTATACATAATCGAGTCCGGACTAGACAATCCAGTGATCAACATCATGAACATCGATCTACGCAAATGGAACACGATGACATCTTAATTGATCGAGTCACCGAGCTGTTAAGTCACCTCACACGAAAAGCATAGGTTCCTGCGGCCCTATATTCTTTGCCTGAATCCCAATGGGTGCTCTTACATATTAAGATACAAACTGTATTTCATATTAGTTTTAAATAGAAATGTGTTGCTAGTTAGTTTACTGTACATTTTGATAGGCCTTTAGAAACTACATGGCCTATACTCTTTCTAGTCATTACATGGCTGAAATATTGCCGCCATGACAAAACATTTGACACACTCACTTAAGCATAACATTTAATGTAGGATTTAACCAGGACGTTAAGATGACTGTGCACTGACCACGTTATTTAAACAACGACATGATTACCTGCATGCCTACGTGGAATGGAAACATTCCACTCATAAAGGCTGCACGGGATCTGAAACAATGAGTGTATTGATATCGATTCTTGTGAAATATTGTAACGCATAGTCCGCTTCCGGCATCCTAAAGACGCTGCTGAAGCCATGGAGGAAATCCGAAGGATGAAAGCAAATTGAGAACATATGCGTTGGCGATCTTTCAAACAAAGACATTTCAGGAATTCACTACTTAACCTAGTTCATTCTTAACTTGGGCGGTTATATTTTGTAATGCTTTGATTTTCAATTAGAAATTGCAACAGTTATTACAATTTACATGTACAATTGCGTGTGGTTCATGTGCTGAACTGTATGAGTTTGAGGTAATGTTTGCTGAAGTCTTATGTTACAAAGTAATATAAGTAATATGTACATGTGTATGTGGTCAGTTTATGGTTTTTAGGTTATTTCAGTAAGTTATTAAAGTTTTATTTGTCGTTCCGTATGTTTTCATAAAATACTAGGGCAAAACAATATAACACATATTTACGGGCTGCACAGAGGCTGGACATATGCATTTTCGAAGATGATTCCCTCTGTGGCCAGTTTGTCGATGTTCGGGGTCTTCATGTCAGGATTCCGGAAACCAACATCATGCCAGCCTGTACATGTATGAGTGAGTGAGTGAGTGAGTTGGGTTTAACGCCGCTTTTAACAGTATTCCAGTTATATCGCGGCGTGTCAGCTTAATGTGGGAGGAAAGCCCGAAGTGATGCAGGTCTCAGACGTTTACCACTTCGGTGAAACCCACGAGCACGGGTATGGTGCTGACAAACCTAGAAACATAATAGGGGCGCCAGCCTGTATGAAAAGACTGTTTGCCCTGCACACTCGGCTATGCAGATTAGCACAACTGTTAATATTTCTACTTTCGAAAATAGGACACATTTAAAAAGAGCTATTGTTCAGCATGATAGAGAGAGAGAGAGAGAGAGAGAGAGAGAGAGAGAGAGAGAGAGAGAGAGAGATGAACTCACATGAACTCACTTTGTAAATGCCTGAAATATAAGCACTTACCTAGGTCATCTGCCACAATAAACACAATGTTCGGACGCTGAGCGGATGAGAATGACATGAAAAACAGTGACAGAGCAAAGAAATGATGAACCTCCATCACGTTTAACTTTAACCAAAATGAGACCGTAGGCTCAGTCTTCCAATATCTCGACCTTTCAGTGTCACAGACTAGACTGGTTAATCCTATCTGTTCCTCCACTTTGACCTTCATGTTCAAGTACATTGTTTCTGAGATTTGCACGTATTTTGAAACCTAACTCATAAAGTAGGAACCTTTAAACTAATTCAAAGAACGGATAGATATGAAACGTCACACCAAAACGAAAAATTATATTACCGTTTGAGATATAAATTATCTGGCTTTGACCCACAGAGAGGTAACAAAGACTGTCACATACATTCCTGACAGATAACAAACATATGCTGACATAGGTGTTGACATTTGCACTCTCTCACAAGGCTTGATACCCACAGTATGAAAATAAAATACACCTAACAACATGCACTGACTACATGATAGTCACTGTCTTCCGTGAGTGAGTGAGTGGGTTGGGTTTAACGCCGCTTTTAACAGTATTCCAGTTATATCACGGCGTGTCAGCTTAATGTGGGAGGAAAGCCCGAAGTGATGCAGGTCTCAGACGTTTACCACTTCGGTGAAACCCACGAGCACGGGTATGGTGCTGACAAACCTAGAAACATAATCGGGGCGAACCGGGATTCGAACCCACAATCATAGGTTTCTGGCGTGCCCAAGGGACGCAACTCTGCACAGCGAATCGCGGCGCCTTAGACGACTGGGCCACCCGTGCCCCTTGTCTTCCGTGAATCTTCCGCAGTATCTTTGTTGTTTGCTGGGGCACGGGTGGCCCAGCCGTCTAAGGCGCCGCGATTCGCTGTGCATCCCGCTCCATTGCATATGTGAGTGAGCAGTTCATGTCGAGCAAGGTGTTTGTTTGACGCCGCACTCACCAATATTCCAGCTTTATGACATGATTGACATAATGAGCAGCGATCCACGCAACATACATCATCCAAGTCAGTGAGCCTGACCACCCGTTTAACATCAGATAAAAGGGAATTCCGCTCTGACCAATATGCAAATCAAGTATGCTCTCTTGTAATAACTTGCAGTATTTGTTTGAATTCAATCTTCCTATAACTGTTCACATCGGCGTAATTCCAAATTGACTCATCATGATATCGACCACTTGGCGATCATTTTAAAACTTCTTGCCTCTTGACCTAGCATCGATATCCTTGCAGAACCGAAACTTGGATTTATAAGGCAAAATCAAGTCAGATGAATAGTGTTCCTTAACTTGCGGTCATGAGGTGAATCCTTTATCGGCAACTGTGTTTTATACCCTGATTGTCTTAGGCACTTTTGAAGTGAACTTCAGTTGACCCTTGACTTGCCCTTACTGCTATTTGTTTCGCTGACCAGTGCGAGCATAGCAGCCACAAGACTGGCTAATCAAAGCTACACTGAGTGAGTAGGCTGACGTCCCAATCCGGCCTATGCTCAGTGCCTACGAATGTCTTCAAACTTCGCCAAACTGATGCCCTTTGTTGCCCTGTCAACTTTATGAGCTTCTCTGCCGATTGGTCATCTGATTCATATAACGCCGGCTGTCTATAGTCTGGTTTTCCTGTTAACGGTTTTCTTTAATTTGTCACCTTCATGTTGTCTGCAGGCACTTCGGTCACGTGGCATGCTTGTCCTTTGCAACAAGCAAGTGAATCAAATCAATGCCTTTACATTTCAGAAGAGCACAGTTATCATCACTAGACGCATGAATGTAATTACAAAATTAAATCGAGTCTAAAGTGAAATGTTTTGTCGTGTTTTTTGTCTGCTAGGTGCTACATGGAGCTGAGAGCATTTGATAATCTGGTGTATGAATAAGTGTGCAGTGTTAAAAAATAAGATTCCTCGATAATTTGTCTCCATAGTATTCGAATGCAGTATTTGTCATGAGGATTATGACAAAGACATTATTTCTTTACTTCTTGCATACTTATGTAATGTTGGGTTTCTTTGTAAGGCTGAAATACACTGGGGGCCCGCATGTATTATGTATGAAAAATGGTGACAATTTCATTAACAAAGACTCGGTAAACTGTCAACACAGTGTAGGGGTTGTGAGGATGTAAACATATCTGGATGTTCTCAACTGACGAGAATAATAAGAAGTTGTACACACTTGCATACTGTATTATGATTGTAAGGAAATGCTCATTGTTTTCATTTCAGGGAGATCACTTACATGATATGCTGTGTGTGGCTGTATCGCCACTGTCATCAGTATCGTTATGAAGCAAAAACGTTGACTTGAAGCAGCGTGTATGGTTGATATATAAATCAAGACTTTGAAATGTTTTTTAGAAATTTATCATCACGACAGAGTTGTAAATATTTTAGAGGTAGCTATAAATAGTTATAAAGATCTATGCATAACAAAACAAGCCAATAATAGAAGTAACATCAGCAAGAAGAATACTTAAGCGTCAGAAACACCGGATCGTAAAGCTTTACGGATATTGATTAAACAGTACTCAATGAAATCAACAGTACCTAATAACATGGAGCCGTCTATTTGGAACTTCTTCTTTAAATACTTTCTTCATACACATCTGTCTACTGATGGAGACTTTTCAGAGGAAGTGCGTGAAGTTATACATATTCACATACACAGACTTAAATATGTGTGAATTTTGTGAAAGAGATGACAGATGTTATGACTAAGGAAGAAATAGTCCAAGAAATAAGTTCAAAGTCCAATGAACTCACACAAAGTGAAAGTCAATTCTGAACATTTGCATGTCACTATTTTATACTTTGACGGATGTAGCGCTGTGTATACGTGTGCATGTATACGTGTGACTTCATGTTTACACTGACAGCCACATAACAACAAGCCGTATGCAGAATAAAATAGTTCCCAAAAAAGAGACGTGACATGCGTATACATTCACAACTTGATTCACAGGAACATTTGTTGTAGTTTGTTTACAAGAACTGCTTTCAAATAATATCATCATTGGATGAGAAAGGGCTGGAAAGAACTACCTCGGTAAGTCAGTCACAATGACAGCTCGCGAACATACATTAACATCAAACACTAGACGTCAAATGGCCGACACGACAAACGTGACAGGAGAGATTTCGAAAGCTGTTAACCTGTGTCATCATTGCTCAATGAAATGTGTCAGATAGATACTGATTTAACTTCATACACTACTGTAGAGTGTCACTGTCGTCTGGACACGGATCAAGTCGATACTTCGATAGTGGATGTGCATGTCTACGTTTTGTGGGCGGTCGGGTAGCCTAGTGATTAAAACGTTCGCTCGTCACGCTGAAGACCCGGGTTCGATTCCCGACATGGGTACAATGTGTGAAGCCTATTTCTGGTGTCCCCCGCCGTGATGTTGCTGGAATATTGCTAAAAGCGGCGTGAAACCAAAACACACTCATTCACTAAGATGGGTTGTAGGGAGTATATTCGTCAACGACCTTGCAGTCAAACTCTCTGACGTTTCTCAATGAATGCTGAAATGCTGAGTTCAAGATTAAAGGGTCTAAAGTATCCGAAACAACGGTTTTGTATGTATTCGTGCAAGGAAATTGATGTTTCCATGAAGGATTATATGAATATTTGTCAGGAAAATCGCACTGATACTTATATATGGTTGTGAAATATGGGGATTCAAAGTGAGAAGCTTCTTAGAAAGGTTTGTAAATTTATTTTAATACAAGTTAAAGTTCTGCAAATGCTGTTACATGTGGAGAATGTACAAGGCTTCAACGTTTTGTTTAATATTATGTGGACCGTTCAATTCGGTCCGAATAATTTGTATGTCCAATAATAGATCTACTTACCAAGGTTACATAGCAAGCAGTAGTGTACAGGGTAGGACTGGGGACCATATAAAAGGGGAATGTTGAATAGGATATCAAGTGATAATCTTGCAAAAAGTGTACTGCTAGTATCCGTTGACACATTAAAGAAATAGACCCGTGAAGATTCCGGGGTAGAATAGGTCTTCAGCAACCCATGCTTGCCCTACAACGTGACTATGCTTGTCGTAAGAAGCGAGTAACGGGATCGGGTGGTCAGACTCGCTGACTTGGTTGATGCATGTCATCGATCCAAAATGCGTGCTGGTGATATTAATCACTGGATTGTCTGGTCCAGACTCGATTAATCACAGACCTCCGTCATAAAGCTGGAAGTTTGCTGAGTGCGGCGTTAAACAACAAACCAAACCAAAGCATTAAAGAAATCCAGCCAAGAATGATATGATTATTGGCATAATCTATCACAATAATTATCTGAACTGATTTCTATGATCAGCAGATACCTAGCCTCCGGGGCCTAATGGTCTACAGTGTCATTAATTACCTTGCAGAACGACGTCTCTTAACCATACCAGGATTCGCAGCTGTTGTCTGTGTTTTTTTGTGTTTTTTAACGCCGCACTCAGCAATATTACAGCAATATGACGGCGGTCTGTAAATAAGCGCGTCTGTGCCAGACAATCCAGTAATTGACATCATGAGCATCGATCCACGCAATTGGGATCGATGACATGCATCAACCAAGTTAGCGAGCCTGACCACCCGATCCCGTTAGTCGCCTTTTACGGCAAGCATGGGTTGCTGGGGATCTATTCTTCCCCGAATCTTCACGGGTTTGTTGTCTGTGAGAACCTCACCTTTGCTGGTGGGTTTCAGCAAAGTGTTAAAACATTACACATTAATCTTTTCAATCACGTTGGGCTTTCCTTTGATATTAAGTTGACACACAGTGATGTAACTAACATTTGGAGTTCAAAGTGGTGTTTGACTCAACTCACCAAATGTAATTGTGACTAAGATGGAAACTGACAGGAGCAACATATTCTTCAATATGTTTTTACACAAATAATTCGACGTCAACACCATCCCGGGCTCCAGACGTTCCCAAAGTTTTTAGGGTTAGATGCAGGATCAGGAGGAGGGAAAAGAGCGGGGACCATCTGCTTCCGGTACTCATCAATCCGAGCTCTTAGTTTGTCAACAATGTCCGGCATCTTTGCTGCCAGGTCGTTATGCTCAGTGGGATCCTCTGCAGGTGGAGAAGGGAATACTTATTAAAAAAACTGATTTGCTTGTACATAGATGGTTGACATGTTTTTGAATAAACACTTCTCTGATGTGATCAATATTGAGCAAGTCCCAAGCAAATTAATTTGGGGAAATGGATAGGTATTCTTATTCTCATCACCTACCACGTATATTGTACAGATGCACTGGACTATCTCCTTCAACATATATGGTGGTTTCATAAATATCGTTCTGTGTCCTGTTCATAGGCTCGTGCCAGCCATCAGGTCCACCTGGGTAGCCCATTATTAGCTTGTAGTCTCCAACCCTGTCAACAAACAGTACCACACAAGTTCACGTCTTTTCAACTGCGGGGGCACGGGTGGCCCTGTCGTCTGTGACGCCGCGATTCGCTGTGCAGAGTTTAGCACGCCAGAAACCTATGATTGTGGGTTCGAATCCCGGTTCGCCCCAATTATGTTTCTAGGTTTGTCAGCACCATACCCGTGCTCGTGGGTTTCACCGAAGTTGTTAACGTCTGAAACCTGCATTACTTCGGGCTTTACTCCCACATTAAGCTGACACGCCGTTATATAACTGGAATACTGTTAAAAGCGGCGTTAAACCAAACTCACTCACTTTTCAACTGCACACTTTGTAGTTAATAATATATATTGTCCGGTATTAAGCAATGTTAGAGAGCACTATGTAATGAATTACAATAGTAAACGTCCAGCTCTCGAAGTCGTAGGTCGCAAGTTATACAAAAATAGTGTTCGTTCCTTGAGTGCATAAAGACGGATGTTACAAAATATGTTTGGTAACTTAATACCTTATTCCAGCATGTCCTTCCGTTGCAGGCTCAAAGTCGTCCAGATTGTATATGAACTCGGTCCTTGACGACGGAAGACCATTCCTGATAGAATCCCAGTGGCTTATACCGTCGATTGACGTCTCTACAATATTGGTGGATTTATCTCACAAAAACGTGAACGTAGAATCGTCATTTCAAATTTATAACATCGTCTGACAATAATCACATTTTCTCATCTATTCTTCGGGATAGAATTAAAAATAAACATTCCCAAATTGGAGATAGAGGTGGTGATGATATGGACAAGCGTAACAAGTGCGTGCGGCTGAAATGAACACATTGCAGACCCGTAAAGGTCCGGGTAGATAGATCTTCAGCAACCAATGCTTGCTGTAAAAGGCGACTATGCTAGTCGTAAGAGGCGACAAACGGGATCGGGTGGTCAGGCTCGCTGACTTGGTCGATACATGTCATCGTATCCAAATTACGTAGATCGATGCTCATGTTGTCAATCACTGGATTGTGGTCCAGATTATTTACAGACCGCCGTCATATATCAGGACTATTGCTTAGTGCAGCGTTAAACCACAAACATATTGCTGTCGGAGACCTCCGTGTAAATCAGATTTAGAACTAATCTCTTGCAACGCATTCTTGTCATAAGAAGGGACTAATTGGATTGAGTGATGATGCTCGCTTACATGTCATGTTATCCCAATTGCTTACATCGATGATCGCGATATCAACACCGGATTGTCTGGTCTAGACTCGACTATTTACAGACCGCAGTCGTATAGCTGGAATATTGTTGAGAGCAGAGTTAAACTACAAACCAGGAAACAAACAAATCTAAGAAGGGTGTCCTTATTACCAGGAGTTCCTCCAGCTGCAGACACCAAGGTGGGATTCCAGTCTACAGCATGCATCATTCTGTAATATAATGGATCTGTGGTTACATGTGTGTTAGTATTCTCAAACTGTCAAATCTCATTAACCAAACATCTTTAACTCAGAGGAACATTAATCGCCGCTTCATCTCCTTTGACAATATCAACATTCCTCTCATTAATGTACGATATTAAGTTCATGAACCTACAAACCCATTATAAGTTGTCTTGGTTTTCTTTAGTCCGGTGCCATACATGAAGGATGCCCCCCTCGTGCCTCCCTCCCAGATTGTGTGCTTCCCTCCTCTCAGAGGCCAGTTGCTGGCATAATCTTCAACAGGACCGCCATTCTGGAGTGATATGGTATTGCTCACACTGAATGAGTGAATGAGTGAGTGAGTGAGTACGGTTTTACGCCGCTTTTAGCAATATTCCAGCAATATCACGGCGGGGGACACCAGAAATGGGCCTCACACATTGTACCCATGTTTGGAATCGAACCCTGGTCTTCGGCGTTACGAGCGAACGCTTTAACCACTAGGCTACCCGACCGCCCTTCACACTGAATGATTCAATATGCAGCTATTACTCTGCACATAATAAGGAAGTGTAACTGATCTCTAAAATCAGATTGTTCTTTAAAACCAATAACATTAAACCACTGCCATTGGGGTACTTGTATGATAACCGGTGATTGACTATGTACATATAAACAACCTTTTTTATTCCTGTTTTTTTTCGGTTGATGAATTGAGAAGATTTTTCTTACATCAGCTGTGAACAGAATGAGTGTGTTTTCAAACAACCCTTTCTCCTTCAGCGCCCTTGTAACGTTTCCAACTGCTTCGTCGAGGGCAGACACCATTCCTAAAAATATGTAACATCAGCATATAATTCTGTTATCATGTAAGCATTTGTTTAAAGAAAATATGTTCACAGTTTAACATGGTTTCTTCACCAAGACATATAATACTGACTCAGAGACGAAAAGTCCGCGTTTAATCAGCTTAGTGACGAGTAACAAAAAAAGTAACACGTACCATCTTTTGACTTCATTTGGAATGGAACCTGAGCTTATGATCTATCCACCACACCACAGAAGTGGAATGGGGAACACGTGTAATTATAGTTTGAAGAAATTTAGAGTACCTGAATATGTTCTTCGACCTTGGTTTATCACATTTGGATACATGTTGAAGTACTTTTCGGGAACCTGGATATAATAAGACAGGCGAATAATATCATGAAACGGCATGAGTCTTGCAGCAACTGGCATGTCGATTGATTGTTGCAGCTATTTCAACCGAGAGATAATCATTTAAGCCCTTTGGAGTTGTTTCCTCCAGGCACATATTCACAGAAACTAAAATGAATGTTGTACATACACTCTTCAAAAACAGAAACGCACAGGTAGATTTTTAGAAAATTTAATATACCTAATAAAGTCGATATATTTGAATTAATATCATAAATACAAATATGACATGTTTGAGCTTGATAGGCTTACGAATGCCATAACTTGCACGTGCAGTTTGCTTTACAATTTTCCTCCATGACATTTTTTAACGAGTGTGAATACAATGAAGTTTAAAACATTGCAAGTCGACAATGGCTGCATCTTGACGCACCATTTGTCGAATATCAGGCCACCAACATTTTCCAATAACATACATCCAGTTTATATAGCGGATTTTTTGCGTAGTCATGTTCAATGAACTACATACTACCTGTGCGTTTCTTTTTTTAAGTGTATTGTATTGTATTGTATTGTATTGTATTGTATTGTATTAACTAGACTTGCCCAATTCCTTTTGGCTATTATATCACAACATACACATCTGAACACAAGTGCACCCCTCAGTCTGTTTATCTAATCCCAGAATACCACTATTTGCATTCAATGTAATCTAGTAAGAGGACTATCTCAATGATTTTGTTAGAAATAGTTAAATATGCACATTTTGCCTCTAATGTAATTTGTGAATACACTACCTTACCTCAATTGGAGCATGTACATTCTGATAGGGCAGGTACATAAACAGAGGCTGGGAAACGTTGTGCTGGTGGATGATGTCAACAGCTTTCTGGGCGAATGTATACTGAAACAGAGCGACAGAATGAGTACATCATATGTATTTAATACATTCAATAAATTACTCTTACCTTTGTATTACATATGTCTCGTATTACGTTATGCAGGTGCACCCAGCCATCATGTTTTTGGAGCAGTGTAAACCTGTTCTCACTATTCTATCACCTAACTTCAATGGCCAGTTCAATAAACCATTAAATATTATCGACGGCCACTCATTCTTTTAAATAAAAAGCTTGTTTCCCAATGTGAAATAAAGTTATGGATTAAGACACCCCAAACGCTGGACATTAAAAAGTATCACATTAGCACAGATACGCATCCTGTTTCATTACAAGTCTGGAACATTTTAATTATTTTAAACATTACCATCCAATCGATATATTTAACTTGTTTCGCCGATGTTTTGAAAGTTACTCACAGCTGAATACTCTCCCTTGTAATCCCAAGCGGGAAGTTTGTTATCTCTGTAGTCTAAATATGCACCTAAAAATCAAAAAACAAAAATCAAAGAAAACTGATATCCACAAAATAGGTACATATATCACATCTTTCTCTATGAAATTATTGCATGCAGCAGTAGCAAACGTTTTAAGACATTCATAAATGACATACTTCATCAATAAATAGTGAGTGAGTTAGATTTCTTGTTGCACGCCAGTCACAAAGCAACATGACGCAACACGCCGTGATATAACTGGAATATTGTAAAAAGCGGCGTTAAACCCAACTCACTCACTCACTCATAACCCTTCATGACCATGAATACAATTAGAAGGTCCATCCACATGCGTTTTAAGCACACATGCATCAATACCTGTGGTACATACTACATACGAGACATGGCTGATAATTGTAAGCGTATAAGGATAACTGTTTTCTGAAGTTCATTGAGTTCATCAGTACCAATTTAGGTATTCACCATGTTTTGCATAAGTTCCAAAATATATTGGAAACATCAGTTCTGGAAGACAGCTTTTAAGATCCAAATAAAGGGACACATTAAACGAGAACCTTAAACCCATCAGTGAAAATGGTTCCACCTGGTGATTGATAATGTTCCTGATTGTATATGAATGACTTTATGATATTTGCAAGCGATCCTGAGTAATTTCTCCTACTTCACTAACTTCCACCATGTCCGTTGTGCTGACATGTTGATAACGAATCATTGTTGACAACAGTGATATGTGGTTTGATGCTGATCCAAGTGATGTATGCATGGTCTACTATGCAAAAGAGCCCTCACTGAAATAACTCGAAGCTAGTGGCTTGTTTGAATGGACTTTAGTGATATATTGGTATATTGGTAGTTGTGCACTTGCCCTTGCCGCCACAGTTCGGTGTGCAGACATGTAAAGAAAGAGTTTAATAGAAATGGTCTAAACTAGTGATTAATTGGACTGGTTTTAATGGTGTTTAGTGAGTTGGTAGTGATGTACTTGCCCTTGCTATGATTGAAGTAGTCCTCCGCTGCACTGTAGTAGCCGAAGAACGTATCAAACCCTCTGTACGTCGGTGTACACTCCCATTTGCAGAAACCCAGGTGCCATCTTGAAAACATCACAGAAACTTTGGGGGTTGATTGGTTGTAAAGCATATGTTGTTATATAGCCGTGCAATGTATTGTTAAACAATGTTGTAATTGCCTTATATTGTTTCTACTAAGATTCAGTTGAAGTTCATAACACTGTACTTTGACATTGGTTACGAAAAGTCTTGTCAGGAATACACTCTAACCTTATGTAAGCAGTCATGTGGAAGTTTCTATTTTTAGATGTATTGGGTCAAATGTATTCTTAAATAAGACCAGACTGTAAAGACCATTATGAGTGAGTGAGTCTTAATGCCGCTTTTAGCAATATTCCAGCAATATCACGGCGAGGGACACCAGAAATGGGCTTCACACATCGTACCCATGTCGGGAATCGAACCCAAGTCTTCGGCGTGACGAGCGGATACTTTAACCACTAGGCTACCCGACCGCCCTAAAGTACATTATGGAAGAGATTTAGACTAATCACTTTCACCCCGGATATAAAGCCTCCGTCTATTTTGTAAGCTTGACCACTGTTGCTGCTTGGTGGATATTATTATCATTGTCTCTATTTCTATAACCACTGCTTTTATGTTTTATACCGCCATTGAATTCGGTACTGCCACCCTATTGTGTACTACGTAGTAGTTGATTAGCAGTGATTTGTATTGATTTGTAAACCGAACCTTGTCACAATCAATTTATCGATTCATATCGAACAAAGAATAAATTCATTATGATATAAATTTATCTATACTCATAAAAAAGTATGTTAATATGAAGTATAAGAACAAAAAAATAGTGTTTCGGACAAACATGCCGAACAAGTACGTTTATGCCAAACAGTTTCTGTAGATTGCAAGTACCGCACACAGTGTCACATCCGTGCGTAGGGTGTTATTCCTGATTTTGACATCTTCAAGGATTGTCGATTAATCTCTGTGGACCATATTTTTGTCAATCGTATTTATTCTGCTTATGATACGGTGGTGATATACTTGATTTCATTCATTTCTTGTGCATAACCTAACGATGCGCTGTCTGCAACACACGGAGCGTCTACGGGGTATTTGCATAGAGTGCAGTCGCCAATATATTCAATATGTTTAATGTTAACTAACTGTTCATTAACTGTTCTAACAGACTATAGAATTGTAACCAACAAACCCAAAATGTTAAACGACCCACCCCATTATGTTAAACGACCCACCCCATTAAAGCCGGCCCTGGTCAACGCCATGAGTACAGGGTCGATTGGTCTGAAACCAGGCTCTTCGAAACTGAGCTCAAACGGAGAATCAAATTGCTGCAATCCTTCATCAGGCTACTGGAGTACGAGTTACAGGTCAGACGATTACAAATCGTCTACATGCAGCTCATCTCCATGCTCGATGGCCACGTGTTGAACCGCCCCTTACAAAACCTCATATTGCCAAAAGACATCAATGGTGAACACAGCGTCGAAACGAGGGTTATCGTCGCTGGTAACGTGTCATGAGTCCCGATTCACTTTGTACTTCCTTGATAGGCGTGGTCGTGTCTTTCTACGTCGAATTTAACGTGAAGCCAGTGTCAACCTAGGACGTCATGACAGATTGGCGGTGGATTGGTTATGGTGTGGGGTGGCATCACTATGAATGACCGAACCCCACAACATTCTGACACCCATTTCTGGTCCTGTTTGTAAGGCGTGTGGGTCAACGTTTTCCCTTTCAGTACGACAACGCCCGTGCTGTCCTTGCAGGAATGGTGAGTCCTCGCTTCCAGTAACACAAAATCCATAGAATGGTCTTCAAAGAGCCCAGACGTTCCCCCTTTGAACACACCTGGGTCATGGTAGGGAGACGTTTGCGTCTACGTCATAGGTCGCTTACCACGTTGGCTGAACTTGGCCAGGCGCTTCAAGAGAGGTGGGAAAGACTCCCTCAAATCGTCATTGGGAGACTATTTTCAGGTATGCCTCATCGAGTGAATGAATGTTTGACAAATCGTGGCGGTATGACGCACAACTGATCCAAATTGGTCAACTTTGAAATTTCCCATTTTACCTGTATGGTCCTCAAAGAATGCCCCCGGTCATACCATCAACTATCATACTTTACTACCGGTTGTAATATGTTTCAAATCGGTTCATTATGATCATACAACTATTACTGGAGGCTAATATTTCTTACAATTTTGGAAACGTTAAGTTATTATTGAGTATCCCCTACTTTCTTAAGAGTATACTTTGTTTTTTAACGTGGACTATGTATAGTGTATAGTTCATACGGATTACACAATCAGATGGGCAATATCGTAATCTGTAGAAGCAGTTGTTTTATAATGTGTTGCTGGACATACTTGCCGACCATATGGGTAGCATAGCCGAGTTTCTTCAACTCTTGTGGCAGGAAGGTGTAGTTGAGGGGCACACATGCGGCCTGAACGTCGCTCAGAACTCTGTGCTACAATGTGAAATTTAGAAGAAAGACCCAATTCCATGCAACAGAGAAACATTTCACATAAAATTAATAACACTCTTGGCTAAGGGGAATTGTCCCCCATCCTGGTCATATTGGTCAACAGTGGCAAACTTATTTGCAAAACTTTCACATCATTAATGTTAAATATGTTATGCTCAACATGAATCTGATTTTATGTCGAAGAGGAAACATTTTACTTCACTCACCTGCATGCCCACCTTGAATGGAAACATTCCACTCATGAAGGCCGTACGAGACCTGTAAATCATCATTGCGCAAAGATCAGCCGACAATATTGAACATGCTCATATCAATCTCATCCCAAAGATCCTTATTTTAAAATAGTTATATTTTTCAAGATTCAGAATTCAAGGCAGATAATTCTAAAAATATATTTGACAATTGAAACCTTTACGGCATATACTAACGTTTGATGTTTTCATGAGACATTGGTTGAACTTGTATACGATTGTATAAGATGTATGTTTGAGTGATATTAAAGGAATGATATTTACGGGCTGCAAAAAGGCTGGACATATGCGCTCTCAAAGATGATCCCCTCTGTAGCAAGTTTGTCGATGTTAGGAGTCTTCATGTTTGGGTTTCGGAAACCAACATCGTTCCATCCTTGTTGCAGTAAATGGTGACATGATATGATTTGGATATGTATACATCATTGAAGAGTAAAATAGAATAGTATTAACAGTACAGTATTTCTCTATATGTTTACTTTGGATGGTTGCCTTCCGTGTAACACACTCCGGTTAAATCTTCTTTAATATTAAAACTCAGAATCATTATGAGTGTATAAACTCAAGGTATTGTAAACATTCATCATGAATGGTCATTTATGCCTAACATACTGAATGGGATCATGTATCACGTTTTTCTACCATAACAACTGCAAGAACAACCACACTCGATTTTAATACCAGGCATCAATACACCAGAACGGCATAAACTTAAAACAAACATAACACCGGAAGTCATATGCCACGTGACTGTCGGACAATGTGTCGCGAATCGGTTCGATTCATGTGAGGAAATCCCAGTTTTCGAACTTACAAACTATGTCTTTGTTTATGGAATGAAAACACGTTTCGTGCAATATGTATTTGCAAATCTTAATGAAGAGAATCAGTCATCGAGTTATAGACAATTATTATTGCCTATGAAGGTTTACATGTTTTAATCAAACTTATTTGTGTGTGTTAAGAGCCTGTGGCGAATACGCAAATTTGTCAGGCATTACGATTCTAGTCAATAGATATGCTATATCTGCTGATGTATGTTAATATCTTGTAGAGACCTATCGTATGACCCTGTATGAAAATGTGATCATCCTGCATCAGTACATAGGCACTTTATCGATGAAGAAAACATGCTCACCTAAATCATCTGCAACTATGAAGACAATGTTGGGGCGTTGTGTTGCCGCACAAGACACAAGAACCGAGAGGAACACAATAATGAACTTCTCCATTTCCACGGTCATACAGAAGTGATAACACCACAGAGGTCCTTGTCACATTTACTAGGTGACCTTCGCCCGCTTATCAGGTAGATTGATATGAACATATGCGATATGTGAACATTGATAGTGATAGGAACTAAAGTGTTTCAACACGTCAACACTTAATTCATATAGATTCCAAATGGCTCAGACTGGTACGGGTACCACTCCATGTCTGAATTCTGATTATTTTGTCTTACATGTCATTCTCGGTCCACCTGTGCCAAGCGATCACAGTTCTAAAACTGTAATCTGTTATGAGGTGATTTCCAAATTGAAACCTAGAGTCTGCTTATCCTGGCTCAAAGAAGTTAGACGTAAAGGTGCGTGCGAGCGTGCGTGCGTGTGTTTGTGTTTGTGTGTGTGTGTGTGTGAAAGACTAATCACTTTCACCCTGGATATAAAGCCTCCGTCTATTTTGTAAGCTTGACCGCTGTTGCTGCTTGGTGGATATTATTATCATTGTCTCTATTTCTATAACCACTGCTATAATGTTTTATACCGCCATTGAATTCGGTACTGCCATCCTATTGTGTACTACGTAGTAGTTGATTAGCAGTGATTTGTATTGATTTGTAAACCGAACCTTGTCACAATCAATTTATCGATTCATATCGAACAAAGAATAAATTCATTATGATATAAATTTATCTATACTCATAAAAAAGTATGTTAATATGAAGTATAAGAACAAAAAAAAAAAATGTTTCGGACAAACATGCCGAACAAGTACGTTTATGCCAAACAGTTTCTGTAGATTGCAAGTACCGCACACAGTGTCACATCCGTGCGTAGGGTGTTATTCCTGATTTTGACATCTTCAAGGATTGTCGATTAATCTCTGTGGACCATAATTTTGTCAATCGTATTTATTCTGCTTATGATACGGTGGTGATATACTTGATTTCATTCATTTCTTGTGCATAACCTAACGATGCGCTGTCTGCAACACGCGGAGCGTCTACGGGGTATTTGCATAGAGTGCAGTCGCCAATATGTTCAATATGTTTAATGTTAACTAACTGTTCATTAACTGTTCTAACAGACTATAGAATTGTAACCAACAAACCCAAAATGTTAAACGATCCACCCCATTAAAGCCGTCCCTGGTCAACGCCATGAGTACAGGGTCGATTGGTCTGAAACCAGGCTCTTCGAAACTGAGCTCAAACGGAGAATCAAATTGCTGCAAGCGTTCATCAGGCTACTGGAGTACGAGTTACATGTCAGACGATTACAAATCGTGCTCGATGGCCACGTGTTGAGCCGCCCCTCACAAAGCATCATATTGCCAAAAGACATCAATGGTGAACACAGCGTCGAAACGAGGGTTATCGTCGCGAGTAACGTGTCATGAGTCCCGATTCACTTTGTATTTCCTTGATAGGCGTGGTCGTGTCTTGCTACGTCGAATTTAACGTGAAGCCAGTGTCAACCTAGGACGTCATGACAGATTGGCGGTGGATTGGTTATGGTGTGGGGTGGCATCACTATGAATGACCGAACCCCACAACATTCTGACACCCATTTCTGGTCCTGTTTGTAAGGCGTGTGGGTCCCTTTCAGTACGACAACGCCCGTGCTGTCCTTGCAGGAATGGTGAGTCCTCGCTTCCAGTAACACAAAATCCATAGAATGGTCTTCAAAGAGCCCAGACGTTCCCCCTTTGAACACACCTGGGTCATGGTAGGGAGACGTTTGCGTCTACGTCATAGGTCGCTTACCACGTTGGCTGAACTTGGCCAGGCGCTTCAAGAGAGGTGGGAAAGACTCCCTCAAATCGTCATTGGGAGACTATTTTCAGGTATGCCTCATCGAGTGAATGAATGTTTGACAAATCGTGGCGGTATGACGCACAACTGATCCAAATTGGTCAACTTTGAAATTTCCCATTTTACCCGTATGGTCCTCAAAGAATGCCCCCGGTCATACCATCAACTATCATACTTTACTACCGGTTGTAATATGTTTCAAATCGGTTCATTATGATCATACAACTATTACTGGAGGCTAATATTTCTTACAATTTTGGAAACGTTAAGTTATTATTGAGTATCCCCTACTTTCTTAAGAGTATACTTTGTTTTTTAACGTGGACTATGTATAGTGTATAGTTCATACGGATTACACAATCAGATGGGCAATATCGTAATCTGTAGAAGCAGTTGTTTTATAATGTGTTGCTGGACATACTTGCCGACCATATGGGTAGCATAGCCGAGTTTCTTCAACTCTTGTGGCAGGAAGGTGTAGTTGAGGGGCACACATGCGGCCTGAACGTCGCTCAGAACTCTGTGCTACAATGTGAAATTTAGAAGAAAGACCCAATTCCATGCAACAGAGAAACATTTCACATAAAATTAATAACACTCTTGGCTAAGGGGAATTGTCCCCCATCCTGGTCATATTGGTCAACAGTGGCAAACTTATTTGCAAAACTTTCACATCATTAATGTTAAATATGTTATGCTCAACATGAATCTGATTTTATGTCGAAGAGGAAACATTTTACTTCACTCACCTGCATGCCCACCTTGAATGGAAACATTCCACTCATGAAGGCCGTACGAGACCTGTAAATCATCATTGCGCAAAGATCAGCCGACAATATTGAACATGCTCATATCAATCTCATCCCAAAGATCCTTATTTTAAAATAGTTATATTTTTCAAGATTCAGAATTCAAGGCAGATAATTCTAAAAATATATTTGACAATTGAAACCTTTACGGCATATACTAACGTTTGATGTTTTCATGAGACATTGGTTGAACTTGTATACGATTGTATAAGATGTATGTTTGAGTGATATTAAAGGAATGATATTTACGGGCTGCAAAAAGGCTGGACATATGCGCTCTCAAAGATGATCCCCTCTGTAGCAAGTTTGTCGATGTTAGGAGTCTTCATGTTTGGGTTTCGGAAACCAACATCGTTCCATCCTTGTTGCAGTAAATGGTGACATGATATGATTTGGATATGTATACATCATTGAAGAGTAAAATAGAATAGTATTAACAGTACAGTATTTCTCTATATGTTTACTTTGGATGGTTGCCTTCCGTGTAACACACTCCGGTTAAATCTTCTTTAATATTAAAACTCAGAATCATTATGAGTGTATAAACTCAAGGTATTGTAAACATTCATCATGAATGGTCATTTATGCCTAACATACTGAATGGGATCATGTATCACGTTTTTCTACCATAAAAACTGCAAGAACAACCACACTCGATTTTAATACCAGGCATCAATACACCAGAACGGCATAAACTTAAAACAAACATAACACCGGAAGTCATATGCCACGTGACTGTCGGACAATGTGTCGCGAATCGGTTCGATTCATGTGAGGAAATCCCAGTTTTCGAACTTACAAACTATGTCTTTGTTTATGGAATGAAAACACGTTTCGTGCAATATGTATTTGCAAATCTTAATGAAGAGAATCAGTCATCGAGTTATAGACAATTATTATTGCCTATGAAGGTTTACATGTTTTAATCAAACTTATTTGTGTGTGTTAAGAGCCTGTGGCGAATACGCAAATTTGTCAGGCATTACGATTCTAGTCAATAGATATGCTATATCTGCTGATGTATGTTAATATCTTGTAGAGACCTATCGTATGACCCTGTATGAAAATGTGATCATCCTGCATCAGTACATAGGCACTTTATCGATGAAGAAAACATGCTCACCTAAATCATCTGCAACTATGAAGACAATGTTGGGGCGTTGTGTTGCCGCACAAGACACAAGAACCGAGAGGAACACAATAATGAACTTCTCCATTTCCACGGTCATACAGAAGTGATAACACCACAGAGGTCCTTGTCACATTCACTAGGTGACCTTCGCCCGCTTATCAGGTAGATTGATATGAACATATGCGATATGTGAACATTGATAGTGATAGGAACTAAAGTGTTTCAACACGTCAACACTTAATTCATATAGATTCCAAATGGCTAAGACTGGTACGGGTACCACTCCATGTCTGAATTCTGATTATTTTGTCTTACATGTCATTCTCGGTCCACCTGTGCCAAGCGATCACAGGTCTAAAACTGTAATCTGTTATGAGGTGATTTCCAAATTGAAACCTAGAGTCTGCTTATCCTGGCTCAAAGAAGTTAGACGTAAAGGTGCGTGCGAGCGTGCGTGCGTGTGTTTGTGTTTGTGTGTGTGTGTGTGTGAAAGAGAGAGAGAGAGAGAGAGAGAGAGAGAGAGAGAGAGAGAGAGAGAGAGAGAGAGAGAGGCAGACAGACAGACAGAGACAGAGAGTGTCAACCCGGACCTTATTTTCTTTAACTTAAGGTCCGACCATTTAGTTAGTTTATGGGGTGTGATGTTTGAAAGAAAGTTTAAGGACAACATTTATTGTCAGGGTAAAAGCCACACAGAACATGATATAGTTGGCCCTTAGCATTTGTCCTACTGGACATTTGAAGCAGTTATTGTTTGCGCATGGTTTTTGACCAGTGTAATGCAATTCTATATTTTGATGTGTAGGATATGTTCCTTTTGTTTTAAGACTTGCCTTGCCTTTCCATGTATTTGTGACGAATGCTACCGGTGGGGGCCTATAGGCTCGAACACTTTTTCCCCGAGACCTTTTATATCATCACTATTTGATAGTGATTCATATACACATGCCGGTAATAGAGTAGTGAGCGTATAATATATCCTGCTTTTAGCACCTGATTGTTGAAAGGCTTTTGACGCTTTTATTGTGATGAGAACGTGATATGATGCCCACTCTATTCTACCTTGTGTACGTTTAGGACTGACACATATGTGTACACTACTCTAAACTGTTAACATTTTAAAACTGTGTTGATGAAAGTTGAAAAGAAATATCTTGATCCTTTTAAAGTGAAAACATGACAATGACATCATTTACTGACTTCTGTTTATGATAGACCTGCAGGCACCCCTACAGGAGTCACACTTCAATGTTATCTGAGCCAAATCCGAAATCAAAGCCTTGTTGTATCTGATGTGCCAACATGTCCATGACCTATA